GCTGGCAGTATGGCTAAGAGTACAATATCTAATGCTGTCATCTTTGTGATTAGATGGGATAATCTCACTCGTATATTTTGTAGATTTGGTGCAATACATGTGAAATTTATGAACTACAGACTTTATACAGTCATGAGAACCAGTGACTATTTTTGAGTTTCCCTTGAGCTTCTTGCTGTTGATCTTCACTCTTATTCTTGGATATGAGTTCAGCATTCCTGAGATTTATAGGCTCAGCCTTTTAAACAAGGTTTCAAACTGCATTTATTTGTTTATTATGAACTGGGTGGATTCAAGATACTTTTAGTGTAGTTTCCGCTAAGTATTATGGTCTCTGCACTATGTGATGCTAGGTTGAGCCCTGTAGCACAGTGGAACACTGAAGAAAATTAATCAGTAATTTCTGATAGAGTACCAGAATAAAGTGTTGCGTGTGGGAAGGCCAGTTGGATAATCCCCTAAAAGGGCTCTGTCGCTTTCAGCAATAAAACTGATCTCTGCTATTATTTTGGAGAAGTAATTGGTTTGCAAACCTGTGAATCCTAAGTTGTCACCTATTACCAGCAGCAGACAGAATTCACTGTTCTGCATGCCCTTGCTAGCTTGTAGTAATCAAGTTGAAGTACTTGGCTATTGTAGATGTAGTCTCTTGCCTAAATAGTTTTTGATACTGAAAGTAAACACAGCTTCCTTCCAAGTTTGCCAGGACTTTGCCCCTGGATGTGTTTGGTCAGGAATTCTGCAGAATGACTTGTTTGTTGGTAAATGAACATTTTATTCTGTTAAGATATTTCAGAAGGTGTGTTTATAGTTAATCTATAAAAGGGCTAAACTATAATTTAATTACTGCAGTCCATTTTTTGTGGCTGATTGTAAATTGACTTTATTGGCAATAATCAAGTCTTCATGTTTAAAAGTTGCAGGTTCGGGCCCAATAAAGGAGTAAAAGGATCTCGTTTATCCATGGAAACCTGGTATGATGCGAGGGAGAAGAGGAAAAAAATTGGCTAGTTTAAAAACTCTAAAATCAGGAGTTTGGTTTAGAAATGTAGTTTGTTGCCTCTCCCCTTTTCCATGACTGGTGATGGCACTCCATAAGATGTGCCTGTTGGACAGATGCTAATATCTCAGAACAACTACTGTCACATTTTAGTAAATGAAGTTGTGTTGTTAATAGTGTAATTATTGTACTCCATAGAGAAAAGGAGGATTCACACTTACTACCCTCTCCTAAATTCTAGAATGTAGGTGTTCAGTTGACAGAAAAGTACTATAGACTAATAGGCTTGGTGCCAATAAGAGGGAGAACGTAAATCTCCATTGAATGACACTAGATAGCTAATTTCATGCGTGTGAAAAGAGTCAGATTTCACACACTTAAAAATAGAATCCTTCCATTCACTGGCGGTTCTATTCCCTTGCCACCTCTGCTTGAACTGACAATGAAACGGTGACTGTCAGAAACAGTGACCGTCTTTGTGTTGAGGAGACCTGTCCATTGGGAGTTGTACCTGAATTCAATTTACAAAGACCACTCAGCAGCCAGCCAATCAGAATAAATGTTGGTTATGTCAGCAGAACCAAATCTGATCTACTGATCTAGATGTGAAATATCACATTGCCTATTTCTTGAGTCATCCGGTATGACTTGCTTAAGGACTTAGCCATGTGTCTTCTATAACATTAACAGCAATACTTTGGCTAACTCAACACGTTCTGGTTGACTGTTCTCTACTACAGTGGTGCGCAAACTCTTCCACTTGCCGCCCCCTCTACCATTCCTGGAATTTTTTGTGCCCCTCCTCCAGTTATTTCCCATTGCCACCTTTACTTCAGAGCTAGACAGCCGGCGAGTGGCAGCTGCTGGACGGGGCCGCCCTGAAAAACCCACTCCCATCCGCTCCTGCATTGTGTGTTGAATTTTTATCCCGCTCCTGCTATTATGGCAGTGGGTTCTGTGGGCTCCTGCAGGACCCACTGGCATAATAGTAGGAGCAGGATTAAAATTCAGAGTGGGTATCCTGGGATAAAAATAGAGTTGTGGGGTATTCTGTATGAAAATAAATGTTGTGGGTTTTTTCCCCCTCTAAATCATTTGAAAATTAGGCTGACAGTCTGAACAATCCACCATTGAGATTTCAGTGGAGGCTATTCTTTGTCTAACTATAGTACATTTGAATAGATTTTATTTACTTTTTCAATCATTGCCTCAGCATTATATTTCATGCGCCACCCACTGCATTACCGAAGGACAAGTTCCTGTAAAGGAATAGTTTTAAACATGATTCATATTATGTTGTACAGATAATATTGCTTTGATCTGATGCTTAATGAGCCTAGATTTATGGCGAAATGATCTAATCTGAAGTCGATATTTGTGAACTCTGAATTCAGAAGCAGTTCTGGCAAACACATCTTAACAAGTTTGTTTATTTGAACTTGCTGTGACAAAAACATACTCAATTGTCACTTGGCTGGGATGAGAATCATGAACATTCTAAAAATACCTTGTGCTATCAGGTTGATATAGGCTTAAACTGAAGATCAATAGAAATGTTTGGACTCAGTTTAAAGGTCCAATCAAAACAAATTCCAGTGATGAGAATAAATAGTGAACACTAAACTAGCTCTGTAGTTTATTAAATCAGAAAGCATTTTAAAGTTTTTAATGTGTGAAATGAGTTGACTTTTTTTTTAACCTGACAGTATTTTTTAGATATAGCAACAAGCCTTGTACTAGAGCAATGCAGGTACAACGAAAACTTTCACAAATGTGGGATCATGCTGCCCGCAAGCCTGTGACCCCCTTCCTCCCTCCCCACCCTGTTTTAAACCAGGAACCTCATCACATATGTAAATGACTCTTTTCTTGCTGAGCTCTTGTGGTGAGAGTCAAAGAACTGTTGTAGGACCCAGAAAACTCTTTGTTCCTGCTACTTCATTCAGGCGTGTGTGTGTAGGGGGGATTGTGCCCTCTCAGAGCTTCTGCCCTCACTCCCCCCCCATCCCCCCATGTGTATATCCAGGGCACCATGATAGCATTGTTTTTGCAGTAGCTGTACTGGCCACTGCTCCTGGATCTCCATTCAGAAGAGCAAGATAAGGTTGCATTTCTCAGCATTTATTGTACTAACTTATTTTTCCCACAGCTTTGTGGGGAAGGAAGCTATGATGCCTCTGATATCAACTGTGCCATCCACCCCACCCTCTTTGGCACATGTAGAGCCCAAACTCCTAGGATGCCTCAGTGGAGGAACTTCTACAGGGTTCTATGAAGGAGATAATGCTGTGGAGCTCTTGTTCTCTCTCTAAACCCTCTTCCATGCTCGTGACACCACACCCCATAGTGGTGTTTTTTGGAGGGGGGTGAGGGGGTGAGAGAACCTGGATTTGTGCAGGAAATGTCCCACCTTGATTATCATGCACATTATGTAGAGAGTTGTCACTTTGGATGGGCTATTACCAGCAGGAGAGTGAGTTTGTGTGTGTGTGGGGGGGGGGGTGGAGGGTGAGAAAACCTGGATTTGTGCTGGAAATGGCCCAACTTGATGATCACTTTAGATAAGCTATTACCAGCAGGACAGTGGGGTGGGAGGAGGTATTGTTTTATGATCTCTGTGTGTATATAAAGTCTGCTGCAGTTTCCACGGTATGCATCCGATGAAGTGAGCTGTAGCTCACGAAAGCTCATGCTCAAATAAATTGGTTAGTCTCTAAGGTGCCACAAGTACTCCTTTTCTTTTCACCCCATAGTGGGGAACTACTGGGCCCTGGAAAATAGCCTGTTGTCAGACTAGAAATATTTACAGTTCTTGTTGTAGTAGTGCGTGGCTCTCTCAGTGCCATAGCTGCAATCATCAACAAACCTCTAACAAAGCTGCATAGCTAATGTTTTGACTAAATGCTTTTCCCCCCAGTGAAAATGGAGCTGCTATAAATCCCATTAATTTAGAAAAAAAGTCAGAAAGGTTTTGTGAAGGGGATGTGCGGGGGGCGGGGCGGAGAGAGGGAGAGATTAGTAGTGAATATTTTATATTATGATAGCGTCTATGGGCCTCAGTCTGGGTCTGGGCCCCATTGTACTGGGTGCCATGCAGACATAGCAAAGACAGTCCCTGTCCTAGTGGGCTTAAAATCTAAAACCCCGGACAGATGAAGAAGTAGGTAATGGGGAGCCAATGATACAAGCATATAGTCGGAAAACGTTTGGGTGCTTGTCAGCCTTTTCGAATCTTTTCTGTCTTCCCCACAGCTTTCTAGCCTGCTCTGACCTTGTAAACGTGTCTCAATCTCCATTTTTTCTGTGTGGCCACAATAGCCAAGATTGCCAAAAATAACTGGTGGTCTTTGGGTGCCCAATTTAGGCTCCCCCTCTGGTTGTCTTGATTTGCATTGGTGGGTGCTCAACCCTTTCTGAAAATTAGGCCCCTTTAAGGTGTCTCAAGTTGGACATCCAAAAGTACCCTCCACCTCCCAGGGGTGTCTGTGTCAACCATTGTGCTGCACCCAGCTGTCACCAAACTCTGACTTGTCTGCTCTGTGGTCACATGTCTCAGAGTGCATTGTAGGTCTGATAGAACCTAGGGGCGGGGGGTGCGAGATTAAATTGGGGCCAAATAGGGAGGCAGCTAGAGTTGGGGCCTTACAGAAACCATATTGAAGGGGGAGCAAGGTTCCTTATCCTGACTTCTATGAAGTCAATTGTAATTTTGCCCATCCCTAGAGGACATTCCATTTTTTTCTTTTTTACTGTCTGTAAACTATGCTTCTGGGTAGCGAGCCATCGCTGTCTAATTAATATACTATGCCTAGAAGTGCCCGATATTCAGACCCAGGCAGAAAAACAAGTGTGGGCAAATTAGACCAAAGAATGTTGAAATCCATACACTTTCAAAATGAAATTGTTACTAAGCAGCTAATATAAATCATCTTTTGATCTGAATGATTGTGAAATGATATTAAGAAATAGGGAATGTTACATGTTGTTCTTTCTTTTGCAGTGGAATCTGGTATGTGATGATGACTGGAAAACCCCCCTGACTACCTCCTTGTTTTTTGTGGGGGTGCTTATGGGATCCTTTGTATCAGGACAGCTCTCAGACAGGTAAAGTACATGGAGAAGGTTAGCCTTGTTGCTTCTAAAATTTTACAGCTTGACCTTACCTTTTAAAAAGATGAGCGTAAGCCTTCCTTTCTGAGCATGTTTCAAGACTGATCTGTGCTCAATGAAAATGAGGGCGCTAAGTCATATACAGTGATATTTTAAAAGGAGCCTAAGGGAGTTAGGTGCCCTATTCCCATGACTGTCATTGGAATTGGGCACCTACTCCATTAGTTTCTTTGAAATTCCCAGCTCTGTTCTTCTGTTCGTTCAGTAGGCACCTTTAGAATTAATATCAATGATGCACTTCAAACTTAGAACTAATCTCTGCAAAGTGCACATGTATTTGCCTTGTACTCATACGTGGTGGTATCTGACCATTCAACAAAGGGTCAGTTGATGTTTCTTTGTCCATACTCTTCAAGTAGTTTCATCAAGAGTAAAACATCTAACATCATAATGGAAGATCCAGTCTAGGAGCAGTGAGATGGCTTGAACTCAATTCACCATTTTTGTCAGTGTACTGAAGAGGGTTTGATGGAGACAAACTGAGCAGATCCAAAATGAAGGGCGGAGCCAGCCCTAAATTACTGTAAATCCTAACATGATTCATCAGGAGCAGATATATTTTTCATAGATCCATTCTTCAGATAAAAGGCTAGAAGGGACCATTAGATAATCTGGCCTGACCTCCTGTATATCACAGGCCATTGAAAACCACCCATTTAATCCTGTATTAAACCTAAAAGCTTGTTTGGTTAATGTCTTTCTTCCAGAAAGGCATCCAATCTTGATTTGAAGACATCAAGAAGATATGGAGAATCCACCACTTTCTTTGTTAGTTTGCTCCAGTGGTTAATCAGCCTCACTGTTAAAAAAATATGTGCCTAATTTCTAATTTGAATTGGTCTGGCTTCAGCTTCCAGCCATCAGTTATTGTTATGCCTTTTTCTGTGAAAGAGCCCTTTAGGACCTTTCTCGCCATGAAGGTACATAGACACTATAATCAAGTCACTCCTCTCAACCCTCCTCCCAAAGAGCTGCCATGGTGGGTTTGAGGATGAGCTCTCGCTCCCTAGAGAATGCCTCATGCAGCTGGCATAAGATATAGCCTCTGACAGACAAACTCCTATCATGTCTTCTTGTTGCGGAGGGGTCCTTAACTGAAAGTATGGGTGTGAAAGGTGGGTGTCTAGTACCTACTAACCAGATTGCTCTGGACACATGGGGCTTGTTAGCTGTGGCTGGGAGCCCACCTAGGCGAAGGGACTCCAATTTCAAACTAAGAACTTCTGGCCTGGACAGCCAGTTTGTAAAATTTGTGCCAATCACACATGCTCTATGGGTCTTTGTCTTCGGGGAGTATATCAGTACAATGCTAGGGCATCCCCTGGAAGCAATATGTGACCGCTTCTCCTGAAGGCTGGGGAAAATGGGAAAAGGCTACTGCATTCTGGGTGCATGTGGCTAAAGGAGTGAGTCCAAGACCTATGTTTGGCTTTCTTGAATGTGGGAGCAATGACTGGGAAATCAAGAGAAGTAGCCAAGATGCTGAAGAGCAGGGGAATGCACATTATCTCCATACAAGAGTAAAAATGGAAGGGGTTGAAATCCACTGATATTGGGATGGGTTACAAGATAATGTATTATGGCTCTATAGCAAGGAGGAATGGAGTAGGTATGATCGTAGCAGTAATATTAAAGGATAGGGTAATGGACATCCAAAGGAAGAGTGACTGGCTGATGAAATAACAGTACTGAGCAGAGAACAAATATTGAATGTTATATGCAGATACGCACCACAGGTTGGTTGCATGTTGGAAGACGAGGAGCTCCAGATAGTGCTGGACCAGGTGATAAGTGAAGTACCACAAGTTGAGGACACATGGGAGAATACAGTGAGGGCCACAGTGATTGTCATGGAGAATGAGGCTTTGGAACTAGAAATGAAGCTGGTGTAGATACCTTAGCGTTAGCCCAAGCCCACATCTGGTTGTTGCCAGTACCTACTTTGTAAAGAGAAAGCATCACTTAATGACATACAAGTTCTTTGCCAACAGGCCCCAGATAGATTACTTCCTGAGAAGAAGAGGAGACTAGAAAGTGATCCCAGGAGAGCAGACTGCAGAGCAACATACATTATGCGTAGTCGATTTCCATGGGGGGAGGCTAATGGGGGGACGAAAGAGTGGAGTGGGAAACCTCTTTAAAAAAAAAAAAGAAAGAAAGAAAATCTTCAGAATTTCAGATAAATTCCGTTCTGCCTTGCTGCTGTCAGGGCCCTGGTAGGACTTTTTAGCAAAATTTTTGACAATAAAGAGTTGTATGTTCTGAGTTTCACCTGTGCTGTTGCAGAAACCACTCTCCAAGTGAGAGACTATTGTAGCCACCCTTTCTAATAAAAGCCCCTTAAACTCCACATACAGATCAGTGTGTCCTTATGGCTGAGGCAGGTATTCTGTGGAAAAATAGTATAGACTCATGTCATTAAAGACTGTATCATAATCCATATGCACGTCGGGGCCAAATTAAGGTTGCAGATGCAATCTTAATTCTGTCCTTTCCTAACTTTTGAGTGCTTGACTTTGCAACCTTAAACAGCATGTGGAGGAGTTGTGTGTCTTTAAATCCAGAGGTAAGCTTACAGTTATATTTCCATAAGAAAAAGGAATAGAAATGTAATATAGACAACAAGTGGAGAAGAAGGAGGTTGAAAGATGGCGAGAGGATTGTATAGTTAAATCATTGGTAGATTTCCACTACCTTGGTTTTATTGTTCCAGCAGAATAAGCTGCTATGAGATTCACTCTCCTGCATGAAGAAAAGGAGTACTTGTGGCACCTTAGAGACTAACCAATTTATTTGAGCATGAGCTTTCGTGAGCTACAGCTCATGTTGATTCTGCATCCGCTGAAGTCACTGGCAAAGCTCCCATTGACTTTAATGCATTGCAAGATTAGGCCTCTGATTAATTGTATATTTATCACACTTATTGGCACTGTGACCACCTTAGATAGATACATTTCTTGCATAACTGCAGCTGTTGTGTTACTGTTATCCAAATTGTGCGCTCTTCTATACTTTTGGGAGCTGAGCTATTTCTGCCAGTATGTGAAAATCAGAAGTGTCCTTCAAGAAGGGCAATAATATTAAGCCTTCTTTGTACTACCTATTATTAAAGTTGTCCAACACATCCCATTTTAAGAAACCCTTTTTTCTGTTGCTTATAGTGTGACCAAACACATTAAGGGTTTGGGTTGAAATTTTCCATGCCAGGTGTCTGACTTTTCTTTATTAAAAAAACAAAAAACAAACAAAAAAATCTTCAGCCAGAACAGTTCATTTGTTTCCAAGAATGAGATTAGGTCAAGGAGCTGGGAGGTGAAGTGAGAGCGGCATGGAGACTAGGGTCAAGGAGCTGGGGTGGGACTAGATTGGAACTTGGACAGTGAGCCCGGAGTGGGAGAGTGGGACTGGGCTGAGAAGTTTAAGGAGTGGAGAGTGGGTCTGGGTAGACAATAGGGTGGCCAGGTGTCTGGTTTTTGACCTGAAGTCTGCTGACCCAAAATCCAGTTACTGTGGGTGGGGGAGGCGCTGAGTCATCACCTGTGCCAGCCCCTACTCAGCCGGGGCCACCTCCTACCTGCAATGGGTGGCTGCAATTCCCAGTGCTGGCTCTGCAGACGAGTCCCTCCCGACCCACACAGAGAGTGGAGTGGGGGGGAGAGGGGAAAAGCAGTGAGCAACAGAGGGAGGGGGAAAGAGGTGAATGGGGGTGTGGCCTCAGGGGAAGAGGTGGGGCCTTCGGGGAAGGGTGTGTTTTTTAAATATTACAAAGTTGGCAACCCTACAGTAGACAGGAAGAATGGAATTGGGGCAAGGAGCCAAGGGTAGGGTAGAGACAGATTGGCACAGGGACAGGTTGGAAATGATGATATAATATTTGTGAAGCACTCAGATATTATAGGGAGGAACTTAATAAATTTGTCTTCAGAGTAGCCTTTGAACAAGGCCTAGAGCTCCATACTGAACAGTGAGGAGAAAATAAAATATTGAATAGCTTCTCATTAAGTGAGCAGTATCCATCCTGCATGCTGAACGAGAAATGGGATCTGGAAAAAATAGTATGTGATGATGTAATTAAAGGCTGTCATAATGTATATGCACAAGGGGGCTGAATTGTATCTGTCACAGAGATACTAACAACTCTCTTTAGGATGTCTGCTCTTCTGAATTATTTTTGTTAATGTCTTGAGTTCCAAAGAGCCTCCATTTTTAATGCTCCTAAAAATGATGGCCTAATAGAGCACTGCGCGTGTTGATAAACGATGTGGTTTTGAGTGGGATGAATGTGCTAGGTCTGTATTGCCTAGCCATGCACCTTGAAATTATTTTTATTCTGTATTTTTATTTTTTTTAAATATAACTTTCCTCTCCTTGTTTTTGCAAAAGGTTTGGCAGGAAGAGTATTCTCTTTGCAACCATGGCAGTACAGACTGGCTTCAGTTTTGTGCAGGTCTTCTCTACCAGCTGGGAGATGTTCACAGTGCTGTTTCTTATAGTTGGCATGGGACAGATCTCGAACTACGTGGTGGCCTTCATTCTGGGTAAGAACATGTCTGTTACATTAAATGCTTGCTGGGTGTGCTGGTGAATGACTTAGTTTTTAATTCCAAGCAGACCGTTTGATAAGAGCCTGTCACATTCTCCACCATGCATAATCCTCAATCTACTCCACTAGGATATTTTCTTGAAAAAATTAAGGAATCTCTGTAAACAAGCATGAACTATATGCTGAATGTACATTTTATTGTCTTAGACGGAAAGAGTATTTTAAAAGACTTTTAAATAATAATGAAAAAAGTTTAAACTGTAAACCACAGTGCCCAGTATCTTTATAAACTGAGGTGGAAAAGAAGGAATTCCCACACCCCCTTTTTTTTAACTACCTGCATTAGGACCCAATTCAGCAAATCACTTAGATATATGCCTAAATCCCTTTGATTTCAGCATATGCTTAAAGTGAAACATATGATTAACTGCTTAGCGAAATCAGGGGTTTAACAAACTTCCATATTCGGAGAGCTACTCAAATGGTGAATTCAGAGACGTTGCCAATAATTCAGGTGCAATAATGTTCCGCTGATAAAGGAATTTGAAAGAAGTGTATTATACTTAAGTAAGGTTTCAGAGTAACAGCCGTGTTAGTCTGTATTCGCAAAAAGAAAAGGAGTACTTGTGGCACCTTAGAGACTAACCAATTTATTTGAGCATGAGCTTTCGTGAGCTACAGCTCACTTCATGCTCAAATAAATTGGTTAGTCTCTAAGGTGCCACAAGTACTCCTTTTCTTTATACTTAAGTAACTTTCTCTAGTTTTGTCAACTTCTCTCAATCCAGCTTGCGTGGAGTGCTATGAACACAGTAGTTCATGCTTTGCTCATGAAAAAACGTACTCTGGCACAGTTAGGTCTGAAACCCTCGCCCTTCATTTTCCTATCTCTCTAGAGAAAAAAACAGAGCTGTGGAAATAGTTCAAGGCCTGTTATCCAAAGAAACAGCTCTCAGAAAAGCCACCTCCACTCCCTGCCCACTCGACCCACCCACTTGCAGCAGTCTTCTTCACAGCCTGTATTTCAGTCCCATGCCAAAGTTGTACTTGGTGTAAATCCATTGGCTTCAGTGACATTGCACCTTCTTATGCGAGTGTGGGATTCCATTGATCATATTGCTTTAATAACAACAGTGCTGCAAATTAAAATGACCCTTCCATATGGCAAAACAAGGTAAAGTTTGTGACCTTTCACCAAAGATTAAGTTATTGAAAGGACTGTAGATTTGCATGTATTCTTGACAGTCAAGTCAATGCTGAATTATCCTAAACTATATTCATTCTGATTACAATTCGCCCTAAATTTCATATGTTGGAGAAAACAAATTGCTCTTGGCTGCAACTTTGCATACAGTGAGCCAAATGAATCCCTAGTGTAAACTTCACTGATGTCAACAGTATATGTTACACCCAAGGTCAGTTTGATCCAGTGTCTCAGCAAATTATTTTTTTTTTGTGCACTGCAAGGTTTTTGAGTATTTTTTAAAGCCTAAATTTTAAAACTATGTGGGTGCCTAGAAGATATGGATAGAAAGGTTTGGGACTCTTCCTGTAGTTGTAACTTTAAAAAATTGGAAAGAAATTAAGATAAACCATCTTGTTTAGGTACATTCTGTGAATGATTTTAATATTGCAATCTTGGCTGTTTGTTCCATTTGACTGCTTTATTTTTCAATGAGATTACATTAAATGTGTATAGTTCACTCACTGTGCCACCACTGGTTTTGGTTTTAAGCAGATGTTGATCAGACAGTTAAAACATTTAATAATTTTTCATTTTTAATCTCACTTGGTTTACAAACTTATTTTTCCTAAAACCAGAAGCATTGTAACCATATTATAGGCATGTTACAGGCCAGATTTTTCTTTTTCCATTAAAAATAGTTTACACCTAAGTTGTAATCATCAGCAAACTGAGTGGGAGCTGGAAAGGAAAATGCTGGTACAGCATGACCACGAATATTTCAAAAGAATGGACTTTTTTCACTTTGCATTTACTACAAAGCTTGATTTGCAAATGAGATGATTTTCATAATATTCGTTCCAACGGCAGCCAATTAATTAATTTAATCATCCATTTATCATTGTGTTGTTTAGTGTTGTGGTCAACTCATATGCTATTTCATACATAATCAGTGCATATTAAATAGATTTAAGTTGTAGAATTATAGAAGTATAAGATTTTTTTAAAAGGCCACACTATAAATAATCCTTAAACACCCAAGAAAGCATGCGTTTTTCTTTCAGCATATAGCTAATATGTCTTTGATAACAGGGTTACATCTGAATAATTACATTAGTTATACTGTGACTTTAAATACACACCACGTCATAGGAAAATAGCATCTGTAACGGGCAGTCCCTCAGTATGATACTGTGGTTGGGAGTATCTTGTAAAATGCTGATAACACAGGAAAAATGTACCCATTTCTATTCACTTGAGTCTGTGCCACTAGAACACTTGCAGTCTTTCCAAGCAAATTTTAGTGGAGAGATTAAGGGTGGGTTTATTTTGTAGAACTGCTTCCAAATGTGAAGGCTCACATTCAAGGGTTTCAGAGTAGCAGCCGTGTTAGTCTGTATTCGCAAAAAGAAAAGGAGGACTTGTGGCACCTTAGAGACTAACCAATTTATTTGAGCATAAGCTTTCGTGAGCTACAGCTCACTTCATCGGATGCATTCAGTGGAAAATACAGTGAGGAGATTTCTATAAACACAGAACCTGAAAAAACGGGTGTTAATCATGCACACTGTAAGGAGAGTGATCACTTAAGATGAGCTATTACCAGCAGGAGAGTGGGGGTTGGGGGGGGGAGAAAACCCTTTGTAGTGATAATCAAGGTGGGCCATTTCCAGCAGTTGACAAGAACGTCTGAGGAACAGTGTGTGTGGGGAGGGGAGGGGGGGGAGACTAAACAAGGGGAAATAGTTTTACTTTGTGTAATGACTCAACCACGCCCAGTCTCTATTCAAGCCTAAATTAATTGTATCCAATTTGCAAATTAATTCCAGTTCAGCAGTCTCTCGTTGGAGTCTGTTTCTGAAGTCTTTTTGTGGAAGAATAGCCACTTTTAGGTCAGAAATCGAGTGACCAGAGAGATTGAAGTGTTCTCCGACTGGTTTATGAATGTTATAATTCTTGACGTCTGATTTGTGTCCATTTATTCTTTTACGTAGAGACTGTCCAGTTTGACCAATGTACATGGCAGAGGGGCATTGCTGGCACGTGATGGCATATATCACATTGGTGGATGTGCAGGTGAACGAGCCTCTGATAGTGTGGCTGATGTGATTAGGCCCTATGACCGTGTCCTCTGAATAGATATGTGGACATAGTTGGCAACGGGCTTTGTTGCTGGGTTAGTGGTTCTGTTGTGTGGTGTGTGGTTGCTGGTGAGTATTTGCTTCAGGTTGGGGGGCTGTCTGTAAGGAAGGACTGGCCTGTCTCCCAAGATTTGTGAGAGGGATGGGTCGTCCTTCAGGATAGGTTGTAGATCCTTGATGATGTGTTGGAGAGATTTTAGTTGGGAACTGAAGGTGACGGCTACTGGCGTTCTGTTATTTTCTTTGTTGGGCCTGTCCTGTAGTAGGTGACTTCTGGGTACTCTTCTGGCTCTGTCAATCTGTTTCTTCACTTCAGCAGGTGGGTATTGTAGTTGTAAGAATGCTTGATAGAGATCTTGTAGGCCTTTGTCTCTGTCTGAGGAGTTGAAGCAAATGCGGTTGTATCGTAGAGCTTGGCTGTAGACAATGGACCGTGTGGTCTGGTCAGGGTGAAAGCTGGAGGCATGTAGGTAGGAATAGCGGTCAGTAGGTTTTCGGTATAGGGTGGTGTTTATGTGACCATCGCTTATTAGCACTGTAGTGTCCAGGAAGTGGATCTCTTGTGTGGACTGGTCCAGGCTGAGGTTGATGGCGGGATGGAAATTGTTGAAATCATGGTGGAATTCCTCAAGGGCTTCTTTTCCATGGGTCCAGATGATGAAGATGTCATCAATGTAGCACAAGTAGAGTAGGGGCATTAGGGGACGAGAGCTGAGGAAGCGTTGTTCTAAGTCAGCCATAAAAATGTTGGCATACTGCGGGGCCATGTGGGTACCCATAGCAGTGCCGCTGATTTGAAGGTATACATTGTCCCCAAATGTGAAATAGTTATGGGTGAGGACAAAGTCTAGCCACCAGGTTTACCGTGACATTATCGGGGATAGTGTTCCTGATGGCTTGTCGTCCATCTTTGTGTGGAATGTTGGTGTAGAGGGCTTCTACATCCATAGTGGCCAGGATGGTGTTTTCAGGAAGATCACCGATGGATTGTAGTTTCCTTAGGAAGTCAGCGGTGTCTCGAAGATAGCTGGGAGTGCTGGTAGTGTAGGGCCTGAGGAGGGAGTCTACATAGCCAGACTATCCTGCTGTCAGGATGCCAATGCTTGAGATGATGAGGCGCCCAGGATTTCCAGGTTTATGAATCTTGCATAGCAGATAGAATACCCCAGGTCGGGGTTTGTTCTTGTGCTTTTTCAGGGAGTTTCTTGAGCAAATGCTGTAGTTTCTTTTGGTAACCCACAGTGGGATCAGAGGGTAATGGCTTGTAGAAAGTGGTGTTGGAGGGCTGCCGAGCTGCCTATTGTCATATTCCGACCTATTCATGATGACGACAGCACCTCCTTTATCAGCCTTTTGATTATGATGTCAGAGTTGTTTCTGAGGCTGTGGATGGCATTGTATTCTGCACAGCTGAGGTTATGGGGCAAGTGATGCTGCTTTTCCACAATTTCAGCCCGTGCACGTCGGCAGAAGCACTCTATGTAGAAGTCCAGTCTGTTGTTTCGACCTTCAGGAGGACTCCACCCAGAATCCTTCTTTTTGTAGTGTTGGTACGAAGGTCTCTGTGGATTAGTATGTTGTTCAGAGGTGTATTGGAAATATTCCTTGAGTCGGAGATGTCGAAAATGCGATTCCAGGTCACCACAGAACTGTATCATGTTCGTGGGGGTG